CCCCCCCAGAAGCATTGTGGGAGACAATTCAATTTCTATGTTACCTAATAAATGTCATGGAAACCAAGGAAACCTGGGTCTCACAGGCCCTCATTAGCAACTGCTTCCCTTTAATAGCACAGACTCCCACATTTGCAGCGGCTGCCACTTCTGCTTTTGTTTCCCCGGCTGATTCCACAAGAGGCCACTAAGCACCCAGAGACACTGCATCGTGCTGACTAGGTAAATAAGCATAAGGCTGAAAGGCTTAGTGTCCTATTTTGGAGCCAAAATCTCCTCCTTTAAAAGCATGGATTGCTTGCTGTGTCCTTCATGCGTCTACAATAATCTGCTTAGGTCAAAGGATCTGCCTTGAAGTGAGGAGTAGCGGTGAGCGAATCAGGTATAAAAAAGGAAGACAAGACAGGGAGCAATTGCAAATGTGCCTTTCTGTGGCTGATAGTAAAAAGTTAACCCCTTCCTGTACTTCTCTTTTTCTAAGACAGCACCAGAAGCAAGCCCAGCAGGATAAGACAAAGGCACAGAGCACAGCACGCCTGGTAGTTTAGAGTGAACACATCCATTCTGGAATACCATTTGCTGAACCCATCCAACAGTTTCTCCTTCTGTCAGGTGCATGATACAAGACCCAGGGAACTATTCTTCTCCCCTCCTCAGACTACAGAACAATAGAAGAATTCCCCAGGTGCCAAAAAAAAAAGCGGGGTATGGAAAAGAATAATATTCTTAAACATTTCTAATTATGTTTTCTTGAATATACTTATTTTTAAATAAAAAGAATCAGTTTTACTTCTGAATGTATATGGAAGGGAAACAGACTAAATCAGATCAAATCCGAGCCTAAACAGTGCTTAGGAAATACAGTGATAGCTACATGGAAAAAAATCTAAACTAAAGAGGCACCAATATGATAACCGTACATTAAATAATATGTTAGCAGGCTGCACGCCAAGTCTTTAAACATAACCTCCTGCTTGACTCCTTTTACCTGATATATGCATTATTTCACTCCTTATAGTTTTGTAAATAGACATTCTAAACACTCTTGATAGGCTTTTTCTTTCTTTCTTATGAGCCACTTTATTGACTTAATATAAACATGCAAGAGAATGCCGAGAAATAAAAGTTTCACTGCTAATAAAAGTTTCACTGCTAATTCACTGCTACGTTACTTCAAATTTACACCAGTGATTTCAACTGAGCAACGCTATAGTATAACTGGATTAAATGTGTAGACAAAACAGACTCATTAGAAAGCTTGTATATCCACTATAGACTCTCTCTGGATGCTGCACAAATGATATACATGTTGTATAGTGCAACTGGGAGAGAGATTTTCACTAAGTACAAAAAACAGTCTATATGCAGTCATGTATTTTCTTTTCTTTTTGTTTCTTTATGGTACTTTCCATTTTTATTTACACCTATTTCACCTATTTGACATTTTAAAATCAATTTCAAAAACTAAAACCAACCATATGCAACATCAAAGGAGGATTTTTAAGAACTTTGAACATGCTGGGGTTTTATCCCAGGATTTATGGAATACATAACTAGAAGTGGTTTATGACAACACTTCTAATCCATAAACGGACTGCACATTTTAATAGCATTCCAAAACAGGTTAAAAAGCATGCCATATTTTTTAGGTTAATTTTTCTGATTAAATTGCACCTTGATGTAAGGGTAACAAAATATTTATTAGCCTATCTAAACTTTTAAATCTCTAGACAAACTATGTTCCCGATCTGAATAGCTATAGAATTAGGAAGTCCTGAATCAGACTCCTCTTGTTTTGATAGCCATTTATTCTTAAAGCATTGGCAGAAACACATGATGTGTGCAAGTGAACTGAAACAACATTGTGCTGAAGAGTAGTACCTATATCTAATTTTATACAGGAAAAAAAGTTGACTTTGCTTGTTGTGCCATGCCACTAAGTCCTCTTTTTACAGAATATATTGAGATTCTAGTCAGAGTTTTCTAGGTTAACCAGTAATGTATTTAATCCCAGCCATGTCTCTTCTAGTTAACCATAATAAAAAGTTCAAAGGGTGTGACAAATAGCTCTTTGTAAGCTTGACTAATTTTTTCCACTTTGAGAAAACCTATTTAGTTTATAACTCAGGCCAGAAACAGATGTTCTGTTTCTACCAAGATAATTGCTGTTCTTGCAGTAGAAACTAAAAATGTATAGATGTTCAGGCTTTTTCTCCCAGAGCAAAAATGGCTGCTCCAGAAGAAAAATATCCAGGCAACAATTAAATGGCTCTGGGTCAGAGTACAAGGAGCAGGGATATTCTCCTGCAGCAGAGAACCAGGAGGATTCGCAACATGGGAAAATGCACCTCCTCTGGCAATCAACTAATTAGTGGGATGGAAGGGGGGCATTCCTCTGGGTCTGGGACCCTCCTTGGCTATCTGTGGCATCTGCTGCTTTTCTGCAGCTGCTAACTGCCACTCGCTTCCCAGACATGGGAGAAAGCAGGCTGTCAATAAGGAGACATTCCTCAGAGCACGGGTGGCCTAGAGAGTAGACCTCTGGTGTCCTCTGGCTGGAAAGCTGGCCTGTGAAGCTCTCCAGACTTTCTTCCATCCCCTAGGCTATTTTTCTATTGAAAGAAATTTCTTCCAGTAGGGATGAACATCTGTAAACAGCTGGAGGCAGCTGATTCTATAGATGGGTTAGTTATCTTACTGCAATTCCTCCTCACCTGAAATGTACAGGTTTTAGGATAGGGTGCTTTATCATTTTGGAAGTTGTTTCATTAATGAAAGGATGTCTATTTACAATTCTTTGTCTTTTAAACCAAGTTACATTTAATAGTTGTTTTGTATCATAATCACTTAAGAAAATATAGCATTTGTATTTTTTTAAATTATGTATAATGCTTTTCATGAAGAATTCTCAGAACAATTTCCAAACATTAAGGCTTCTCATGCCATAGTAAAGAAGGTAAGTGGTAGTATCATCTTTGTGTATATAAGAAAAGTGAGGAAGCTAAGTGACATGTCCATGGTCATATAGTAAGTTGGTGGCATAGTGGGATTTAGAACTCATGTATACAAAATCCAAGTCCTTTGCTGCAATGTTGCTTTTCTTACTATGCCCTGCATTTATTCAGCTTTTGAAAATGCTTTATTTTAGCAAATTAAATTGTTATTTCTAAAAACACTTTACAGTCTCTGAGCAACAGTAACCTACCTAAACACTTCCTGGAAAGAAAATAATAAAATTGATTTGTATTTATGATGAATTTTAACCAGAAATGTCCCAAAGTATTGCATAAGATTTAGAAAAAAATAGGAGTCAGACTTTATGATTCCCTGGGCACACCTACATGTGCAATTAATGCAAAACAATAAACCCCAGTTCATATTGCACTGGAGTTTATTGCTCCCAGGCATTCTGTTTGAATATGCACCCAGGACTACAGCATGTTGAGCTGACTTAGAGAAGCCCTGGCTGGCAGAGGCCCTGGGGGTCTGCCTGCCATCCTGGGGCTTCTCCTGCCCAATCAACATGCTGTGGAGTGGCTGTCTATGGTACAAGGATGCTCCAGTGCAGGGCTTGCCAGCAGGCAGCCTCCACACTGAAGCAGCCTCATGCCCGAACTAGCTGCATCAGTGTCTACATGTTTCATACAGATCATCTAGTCTGACCCCCTGCTATGGCAGGAACGAGTACTGGGGTCAAACAACCCCAGCAAGGTGTTCATCTAACCTTCTCTTAAAAACCCCCAGGGTAGGAGCCTGCACCACCTCTCTTGGAAGTTGGTTCCAGACCCTAGCTGCCCTGACTGTGAAATAGCGCCACCTGATGTCCAACCTAAACCTACCCTCTGCCAGCTTGTGACCATTATTCCTGGTCACTCCTGGCGGTGCTCGGGGGAACAGTGACTCCCCCAGTGCCTGCTGATCCCCCCTGACTAGTTTATAACAGGCCACAAGATCCCCCCTCAGCCTTCTCTTTTGGAGGCTGAACAGGTTCAGGTCCCGTAGCCTCTCTTCATAGGGCCTGCCCTGCTGTCCCCTGATCATGTGAGTGGCATGTGTAGTGCTGCAGAGTAAAAAAGTACTGCAGTATTATCCTGCTGCAAAGTTAATCAGTTTACTCCTGCGTAATGGCACTGCACATGTAGACATGAGGCATTTACTGCAGAACTAATTAGCCTACTCCACAGTAAATGTTTTGTGTAGATGTGCCTCCTGAAATGTACTTTTATCTGGGGTTAAAACGAGCACTACTCAATATCAGACTCAGATTGGTTTTTCCACACACTGAGTCTTGGAAGATGACTTCCAGGACCACGTTCAAGGACAATACCTATGATTTAGCATAAATATAATTGATGTGCCTGTGCCCACTATGAATTCTCCAATCATGGGATTATACATATCCTTATACAAGTAACATGCATATGTTTGTATGCATATTACTTGCATTTGTCTTTTTACAACCTCTGAACCAGCCCCTTCTTAAAAGTGATTTAAAAAACTATTTGAAAGGAAACATTACAACTACTTCCATCCTGGCAGGCTATTTTTAGGTTCTGCTTTATTACATTATTTATACAAGACATATTTGCATGTAATCCATAGATTCTGGGATTTGGAAAGCTACGGGCATTTATACACATGCCTGATGCCTGGCTAATTAGAATGCAAAGGAACAGACTCAATTAATCTAATTAGAATGCTCCGGCAGGCTTTTGTCACGT